CTCCAACTTTCCCCTACCAAATCCACAGCGACCATATTCTCGAACTGGACGAAGAAGTATAGACTGGAACTTAATATTGCAGTCGACTTCAGGAAAAAGTTAAAGGTCACCCTCGGCAGTAAAGACGAGTGGAACGAAGTGCTGTTTCTCAACAGCAGCTCGAGGTTGGAGTCGTTCCATTCGTCTTTACTGCCGAGGGTGACCTTTAACTTTTTCCTGAAGTTAACTATTTTGGTAGCTCTGTCTCTTGGGAGGAGGGCCAACGGTATAATGCCACTTATCTTTTCCATCCTATGGGACGAGACTACCTTGCCTTTTTCTAACCCCTCAGCCGTTATTTGCAGAAGAGTGTCTTTGGCTACCTGACCAATAACCAAATGAAGCGGAGTAGAACCTCCAGAGCTGCCGTTCGACAGGTGCGAATTGCACCCGTCATGCAGACACAGGCCAGCCGCTGTAGCTTCACTAGCTTAGTATTAACCGAAGTTTGCGACGCTATTGAGGCCCAGGCCACCGCCACTTATGTGATTATCGGTCTCACTATCATGGTGTACAACCATCTAACGATCCTTGGCTTACGGCCATTAAAGCTTTTGTGTCCTTGACCAAGGTCAGGTTTACATGGTGTTTCCACCTCAGCATCAAACCGAGTTATTTGACACTGTTGGTCATCCGTTCCCTCGACAGTCGGGTCTACGAAAACCGGAACGGACCCGGATTTTTATCCGGCCAAGGACTGTCAACTCGGCAGAATTCTGCCGTTACAACAACAACAACAACACTGTTGGTCATCTCTATTTCACTACACCCAAGCGTGAGATTTCTAAGACCGGATAGAGACCTGCTTCTCGTAAGCGGGATTACGGTCATCATGGATGGGTTGATATTTAGTTCAACCCCTACACCACCCCTTTGCTAGGTTTAGACCTCTTTGGATTAAGTCACAGAGATTGTCCTCATATATGCCTTTGACCATAATTACAATGTCGTCCGGATACCCTTGGTAGCGGATCCCATTGTCCGTTAGCAGCGCTAGCAGATTGTCTACGACTAGACTCCATAACAGGGGTGATAACACACTCCCCTGTGGGCAGCCGAGACGAATCCTTCTATCACCTACTGTGGTCTCAGCAACCCTGGTGCGCAGTACGGCTTCTATCCATCTGCGCACTGGTGCTGCCACATTCCTTTTCTCCAGTGCCCTGGCTACACTCTTGTGAGACGTGTTATCAAAGGTACCTTCGATGTCCAAGAACGCGCAAAGCATTACCTCCCAATGCTCCAGTGAACTCTCTGTCTCAGAGGTCAGCTGGTACAGAGCGGTACTGGTTGATCTGCCCGCTCTGTAGGCATGCTGAGTCACACGCAGCGGTGATTTCTTCAGCGCTTTCATCCTTATTTCCTGATCCACGATCTTTTCCATGGTTTTTAGTAGGAAAGACGTTAGGCTGATTGGCCTGAAAGATTTCGCCAACGAGTAGTCTTTCCTCCCTACCTTGTGTATGAAGATCACCTTCGCTGTATATATATTTCGGGGATGTACGCCATTCCAAGGCTATCTCTCAGCAGTCGAACCAGGTGAGGCAGCAGAAACTGCTCCCCCTGTTGTAGCAGCGCCGGAAAGATGCCATCCGCTCCTGGAGGCTTGAATCTCTCAAACGAGGCCATCGCCCACCTGGTGATGATCGCCATTTGCAGATATAAAAGTGTTGCATTTGGTTTCGCTGCGACATCTTGGGTAAGGCCTTCTGATTGTATACCGTCGCATCGCAACGCGTTTAAAGATTTTAGGTATTTAAGCTCACCCAACAATGATGAATCATTGTTTGTAATATTAATGCAGCCGAAAATATTAAGTTCTTGCAGTAATGGGAGATTTTTTACAATTGCATCTATGCAACTATCATTAACGCAGATGGTGCCGGACAAGTACAGTGTCAACAGCTTATTCTGTTTTTTTTTTTTAAATGACTGAAGTGATATATTGTTTAGTTGCCTACAATTAGCAAGCCCCACATTTTGTAATAGAAACGCTTTAAAACTTAGATCTTCTTCTTCTTAATTGGCGTAGACACCGCTTACGCCATTATAGCCGAGCTAACAACAGCGCGCCAGTCATTCTTTTTTGCTACGTGGCGCCAATTGAATATTCCAAGCGTAGCCAGGTCTTGCTCTTCATCTGCTTCCCCCGGAGGGTACAGCGTCGAATACTTTCAGAACTGGAGAGTTTTCGTCCATTCGGACAACATGACCTACCCGACGTGGCCAACGCGCAAAGCACTTTAAATGTTTCGCAGAACTTTTCTCTCGAAAACTTGCAGCGTCGACTCATCAGTTGTTGTCAACGTCCAAGCCTCTGCACCATATAGCAGGACGAGAATTATGGGTGACTTATAGAGTTTGGTTTTTGTTCGTCAGAGAGAGGACTTTGCTTCTCAATTGCCTACTCAGTCCGAAGTAGCACCTGTTGGCAAGAGTTATCCTACGTTGGATTTCCAAGCTGGCATTGTTGGTGGTGTTTACGCTGGTTTCAAGAGAGACAAAATTATCTGTCTGTCTGTTATTATATCAATATCATCGGCATACGCCAGCAGCTGTGCAGTCTTGTAGAAGATGGTACCTTCTCTATTTATGCAGCTCGAATTATTTTCTCCAGAAGCAGGTTGAAGAAGTCGCACGATGGGAGTCGCCTTGTCTGAAACTTAGATCACTTAAAGACATTAGTGATGGAGGACCTGTAAGAGTATTACTAAGATTTAAGCTACGTAAATTTTGGTGATGCATTGATATTACACTCATAATGAACTTAAACGTCAACATAGAATCACTTGGTGTGACGTCTATATTGTTGGGATAAAGCCGTCGTTGAATAGCATTGCGATATGCAATATGGCATCCAGATAAATCCAATATACTAATACTGTGCATCATTTCTCTAATGCGTAATAAAATGGCATCTGATAAGTATTGATTATCTTTCAAGGAAAGATCTTGGATTCTGCAAAAATTTATGCAGACAGACAAGCAATCATCAATGTTGTCTAAAAACGAACCAGACATGAAAAGGGGTGAACAACGAGTTATAGTTATTGCACGAATTTTTTTTAAAAGGCTCATTATAGCATAAAACTGTTTGTCACCCACATCAACACTATCAAATATTATTTCCTCTGCAGTATTTCCAATGTGACTCATTATGTTTTTATCAGGCCAAAAGTAACTTCTTCAAAGTGGTAATTGCGAAAAGGAAGTCTTTAGCAGGGGAGCTTCTGTCCGAAAGGCAAACTTTTGAAAATCGAATTATATTTTTTTTTTAGAAAATTCAGTGTTAAATGAAGCTTCATGCCATCGCTGACGGAGTTTTTCCGGCTACCTGTACATCTGGGAATCTTAAGAAACGAAATATGTGTTGAATAATCTGCAATAGATATGTTTTATACTTTAACTCGTAACTTTAACAAACACAAATGTATATGCTTAAAGTTTAAATACTATATGCAATATCATAATATAATATCACGTGAACACTGTTACAAGAAATAATGTCAATAAATAACTTCAATTCCTACCTCTATTGGCAATTCACCATAACTGGGCTTCCAACTTCTATAATCCTTATCATTTCATTCAAAAGACGCCATTGTTTTTGTAATAAAAAATTGGACGTTTGTTGCATCTTGACCGTCGATGCAACAAATGTCCAATTTGTATTACTATTGATACTTGCTTGTACATACGTAAATATATTTATGTATTATTCAAAGGCAAATGTATCAAATAAATATAAACTATTGGAAATGGCAACACATATGCACTATGCATTCATGTATGCTTAATGATTGTTACTTGTCCGCTGATAATAATGGCTGACTTCGAAAACGTCAATCGCTTTGCATACGAACAAAGTTCGAAGTTCGATAAAGCATCCTCAGTATTTATTACATTACATCATATTTTGAAACGCATTAACTCAGTAGCCGATGCGCAGTGATACAGAAAAGCGTGCATCACTAGAAACTTGATGCTTTTCAAGGTTTGAAAGCAACGATGGCGAATTCAGATTGGTAAGCATTGATATTATTGGTTTATTAATTTATATTTAAATGGTTTATTTGTAGTGAATCTAGCAAAAAATGGAATTACGAGCGCAAAAAGCTGCTTCGCTGCCAAACGCAAAAAAGGTCAGTGCTGTGGAAATATTAAAGAAGTTGAGCCAAATTCATTTCCATTCAGCCGTGATGATATAACCAGGAAATTTCTCAATTTTATGGTAACGTAGAATACATTAGAAGAAGCTACCACCCACTGGGACTTTTATGAGGAAATGTACGATGTTTACGGCACTCGCAGCGATGTGACCGTTCCTCAGGAGACTTTAGATTCATCGCTATATGATATATTGAGTGGAACCGGTGGTACTAACGATTTTCTTGAATTAGATAGCACATCGCCAAAGTCAAAATCAAAATTAGATCGAAAGAAGTGCGAGGTTGTAAGTTTTTTGGAAAAAGAAGCCTCTGCAGACAAAGAAATTTTAAAAGAGTTGATGCAGGTAGAAAAAAAAAAGCTGGAAGTGGATAAGCAAAAAGTGGAGGAAATGCGAAGCCTCCGTTTGCTACTGACATCTATGTCTAATTACCAATAGAATACATTACTGGCAGAGTTTAGTTGGCTGTGCAAAGCACATTTACGACTTTTTTTCAATGTTATATTTTTAAATAATCGTAATGTATACAAATTATAAATAAATGTTATTACAACTTTAAAAGTAAAATATTAAATATCACAGTTTAATGGGGAAGTAAGTATGTCAAATATCTTATAAAAATATAGTAAACTAAAATTCAAATTAAAAATTATAGATTAATTTAGCAAAAAAAAAAAACATTAGAAGAGGATTGAAAATTAACATGTAGACTCTTGCTTCAGCCATTGCATAATAAGCACGTAAATATTAAGCTGAAAGTAAAGTAGTTAGATTAGTTCTTTTTCGTATGGCTTCTTCTTTTAATAAATTTGTGGACACATTAGGTTGGGAATTATATTCAACGTCTATTTGATTTATTATAGTTTCTTCGCCAATATTACAATCTTCGTTTTCAATAATAAAATTGTGAAGCACCATACAAGCCATTATTATGTGCTTTGCCAAGACCAAGTTCTGGATTTAAAGACAATTAAGAATCCGATTTTATTTTTATTTTTTTCAAAATACCGAAAGCCTGGGGCCCTATTCTGTATCTCGATTCGTAAATGTATTCTATTCGAAATTCGGATCTACTTTATAATTTTWCGAAAGTTGTACCACCCTGTGCCAGAATAAATACGTACAATTTTCGTTTTTGCTTTCTACAACTCAAAAGCTAACGAATATTTTATTCGAAAATTGGCTTGAAAATCCGAAAGTCTAGTTACGAAATATAAAAAATCCGAATTCGAGTAAATTTTTTCGAATCGAGCTACAGAATAGGCCCCCTGCACTATGAAGACTCTTGCCGAACTTAGTACATAGTTGAATCCTTTTTGTTCTTGTGTAAGATACCCATTATCTTTGTACAGTACCATTGAAAAAGTCTAAAGGATAAGCACCGTCTCCCAATAAATGATATTGTGGCGAAATTTTAAGCATCTTGTTTATGATAGCTTGTCGTATTGGGTTGTTGCGCCATATGGATGCATCATGACACCGTCTTGGATATCCATCGAATACATCAGTGAAACGCATTTTGCTATCCGTTATTGCCTACATATATACGAGTAGAAGTTACATTTTAGTGTTAAATATACCTGAAGAAAATAATACTTTAATATAGTCCTTTTCTTATGTAATAGCTTATGCTATAAGTTTTAAGCTGCTGAATGCGAACATGCATTCCATCAACACACCCTAACACAAATGGAGAGGGCAGAGCACGACTAGACTCGAATTGCTCCTTAGTAGCTCGTTGGCTTTGACCGGTTGGTGGAAATTTTATTAACTTCGCTTTTAAGTGACCAATTGCTTTTATTGTACGAATAAAGTTGTAATATGCAGTCCTAATACCTATGTAAGTGAAAACGATCACTTAATTCACGGAACATATACATACATCTTTCTAACGATAAGCAAGACCGACCAGTTCGAGATGTTCTCCATAATGGCTTTAACATAGCTTGAAGCTTCTGTGAATGTATTTTTGTAAAATATATAAAACTTATACTTATGTATATACACGTGGAAGGTTTCATCCTAAAGTGGGAGAAAAATACATCAATTGGCATTTCACTAATAGTTTTCCAGAATCCCGAATTTTTAGGCACCTTTCTTCTAATGTGCTTTTTATCATTATTATTTTTGAAATTATTTTAAATGCACTTTCTTTTATATTTTGATTTAAATATTTTACGAAAAATTTTATGTAGTTATTTTCAGAGAAACGCAAAAAACGTTTATAATTGCACTCTTGGCTTTATTTTGATGCATTTTGATATTTTTACGCTCGTTGAATTTAAGTTTCTAAAACAGCTGTTGACGAAAATAAACTTTGCAGTAAAAGTGTTGTAAAACGTCTAAATGTACAATGCATAGTAATACGATGTTATTTGACGTTGCATGGTTATTAGATTAAAAACACCTCCATGCTCCGTGAACATCCTATATTGTATGGTTATTTGCTTATTTTTACACAAACAGCTGTTCATTCTTTACAGTTTAAGTTCAATGAAATTCCTACTTATAAAATGCCTAAACAAAGTTTAAAAAGCAATATAATTGAATTTAAAATAAGTTCTGCTATTCAGGAAATGGACTTTATTGAAGGTATGTGCTTATTAAGTAATCCCAATTTTAAGGGTTAAAAAAATTCTTTGTATAAAATTTGCAGACATCTTGCGCCCTGAACAGTATCACAATGCAATTGTAAAGAAAATCTGTTAATAGCAGAACTTCCAATAAGAAAATCTAAATGGAAATGCCATTTAGTAAAATTCCAACGACTTTCTAACACTGGAAATAAGCAAACAACCACATAATCTGTAAACAAGGGTCTAGGTTGGTTAAAGTTGGTTATTTTGTCATACCGCATTTTGTTGTTGTTTACTTAATCACATAACCCGATAACCACCTTATCGTGAACAGCCTAACTGTAGTAAAACCGCATCAAAATTTTGCAGTAGTACGTTTTCGAAGTCAGCCAATCGGTCTACAAATAAAAAAATATAGAAATCGATAACAAAGAAATAACAACATAAATCTATCAACCTAATAAAGAAAAAACTATAATGTGCATAAGCTAGCTTAAGCCAGCGTAAGCAACTTTCCACAGGCCATCCGCTGTAGCTTCAATAGCTTAGTCTTAACCGAAGTTTGCGACGCTATTGAGGCCCAGGCCACCGCCCCTTATGTGATTACCGGACTTACTATAATGATTTACAGCCACCTTACTATCCTTGGCTTACAACCCCAAGACCTTCCTGCCAGCCAATTGCATACCATTAAGGCCTTTGTCGCCTTGACCAAAGTCAGGTTTACGTGCTGCTTCCACCTCAGCGTGGAGTCTAGCATCAACCCAAGGTATTTGACACTGTTGGTCATTCCTATCTCATTGCCTCCTAGTGTGAGATTCCTAATTCGGGGTAGGGACCTGCGTCTCGTAAACGGGATTACGCTCGTCTTGCAGGGGTTGATATTCAGTTCCACCTCCCTACACCACTCCTTCGCTAGGTTTAGACCTCTTTGGATTAAGTCACAGAGAGTGTCTTCATATTTGCCTTTTGCCATAATTACAATGTCGTCCGCATGCCCTTGGCAGCGGATCCCATTGTCTGTTAGCAGTGTTAGCAGGTCGTCTACTATTAAACTCCGTAGCAGGGGTGATAACGCATCCCCCTATGGGCAGCCTCTTGTTGTGCCGAGACGAATTCTGTTGTCACCTACTGTGGTCTCAGCCACCCTTATGCTCAGTACGGCTTCTATCCGTCTACACACTGGTGCGGCCACATTCCTCTTCTCCAGTGCCCTGGCTATACTCTTGTACTACGTGTTATCAAAGGCACCTTCGATGTCCAGGAACGCGCAAAGCATCACCTCCCCATGCTCCAGTGAACTCTATCTCAGAGGTCAGCTGGTACAAAGCAGTACTGGTAGATCTGCCCGCTCTGTAGGCATGCTGATCCGCATGCAGCGGTAATCTCTTCAGCGCCTTCATCCTTATTTCCTGATCCACGATCTTCTCCATGGTTTTTAGTAGGAAAGACGTTAGGCTGATTGGCCTGAAAGATTTCGCCAACGAGTAGTCTGTCCTTGCTACCTTCAGTATGAAAATCACCTTCGCTGTCCTCCATATTTCGGTGATATACGCCATTGCATGGCCTTCTCTCAGCAGCCGAACTAGGTGAGGCAGCAGAAACTGCTCCCCCTGTTGTAACAGCGCCGGAAAGATGCCATCCGCCCCCGGAGACTTGAATCTCTCAAACGAGGCCATCGAACGCCAATTCTAGCGGGATGGCCTGTGTTCGATCTCCCGAACTGTCTCGAGGAAGTGCGCTCGGAGAAGCTCCGTGGCTCTGTCCTCCAGACTGGTCGTTAAGGTCCCGTCGCCGCGTTTGATTGCTATTTCAACATCTTTTGTGCCCCTGGTCATAGCTTTGTGCAGCCGAGACGCTTCTGGCGTAGTGGCGACATTCTCGCAGAATCTCCTGAAGCTAGTTTGCTTTGCAGACCTAATCTTTTTATTGTATAAGGTGAGGTAGCTTCTCTATTCTGCCCAATCCCGTTCGTTTCGCTTTGTTAAGCAGGCCGCGTACTTTTTTTCGGAGGTCTGCTAGTTTCCTTGACCACCAAGGACAATTTCGTTTATTTGTGGGCGCTTTTAGAGGGCAACTGCCATGATAAGCGTTAATTACAGACCCGTTCAGCTCAGATAGCCTAGTCCGTAATCCTGCGCTTGAAACCCTATCGTCTGTTTGTTAATATATCCCTGAAGGTGTCCCAATTCGCCTTCCGCGGGTTACGTCTAGGGGGGAATTGGCTGACCTCTACCTTTAGCTTGAACCTTATAATCCTGCGGTCTGACAAGGAGAGCTCCGTCGAGATTCTCCATTGCGAGACCAATCCGGTTGCAGGCTCATTGCTCAAGGTAATGTCCAGCACCTTCCTCCTGCTTATAGTTACGAATGTGGGTTCACACCCTACATTCTCTATCACTAAGTTGCTACCTACTATATACTCTAAAAGAGACTCACCTCTTACGTTGCAGTCGGTGTTGCCCCATTCCGCGTGGTGGGCGTTGGCGTCGCAGAATATGATAAGGGGGAGCCTGTACTGTCTGCAGTGCTCCACCATCCTTTCCACCACCTCCGGAGGGGCCGTATATGCCTGCCCTGGGAATTATGCTGAAGCCAGGTTCACTTGGGAAATCTTCGTATTGATGGCCATTATAATATGGGTTGGGTCTCCTAACCCGTCGAGGAGCTCCTGCGTGGAGGCTAGCTCTGCTGTCTGACCGCAGAGGCCGACATCGGGGACGTCGGTGGTCACCGTTGGCACTGCCTGCTTAGTCCTACTTTCGCAGGGCTGTTCCGACACCTCGTCCACCTGCATTTTTGCCACCTCCGGAGCTGCCACAGACACTACCTGTTTTTCGAAGCCCTTGTTTTGGAGAGTCGCAGGCGTTGCAGCTCTCATGTTGCCGATGACTGCAGGCCTG